TTTCTACATTCACGGTGCTTCGTACTTCAGAGTCTTCCCAATAACTACTTCTATGCTGATCTTTTTTATTTTTTATTTTAATTTTGCAGTTCTTTTATTAGTTGGAAGCTCCTTTAAATATAGAATTCATTGCCATCTTAGCATAGTTATGTGGCACATAGGATATAGGTCCTTAATGTTTGTTGAATCAACAAACAAAGAGGTTCAATAATTCAGAGGAAGATAATAATCTTTCAGCTAGATGATTAAGGTATATTCCATGGAGATAACCTATAATGTAAGTTTTGAAGGAAAAGAATTTAAGCAACTAGAAAAAGTAAAAAGGAGAGAAATAATAATGATGAAAATAATAGCTAACACGTATTTAATGCTCATTATGTACCAGGTACTATTCTATGTACTTTTTATGAATTATCTTACCAGGTATTTTTGTCATTATTGTGTTTTGGTTACCTAGTGCCGCTGTGACAAGAAATATACCACAAATGTAAAGGATGGCTTTTACAAACAGGAGTTTATTCTTAAAATTTGGAGGCTATAAGTCCAAGTGCAAAGTGCCAGGCTCTAGGGGCTGAGTGAAAACCCCTCAATCTTGGGGTCCAGCTCTGCCTCCTGCTCCCGGCCCACTGGAACTAGAGGCATTTCTTCACTCAGACAGCTGCTAACCGCTGAGGCTGAGAAGCCCCAAGGTTGACAGTAAAAAGGCACAGTCCCGATGTTACCAAACCACATGGCAGGCCATTAACTTAAGTCCATTGTAAGTCCCAAGGTCGGCAGAGCATAGCAGGCTGCTGAGCAACGACACAGCTCCATGCAGGGTCCAAGCGTGCCATAGGCAAGAGACTATTCCCCAAGGCTTCTGCTTAAATACAGGAAGCAGACTATATCCCAAAGGCAGCTACTCAGCTGCTTGTGGTAGATCCCACCGCGGAGTTGATTGCCAGTCTCATCATGGGGAATAACTACCACCAGCTGCCCAGCCATTCAACCAGGCCCAGCCAAGTTGACACACAAACATAACCACCACACTGTGTATGGCTTAAGTCAAGCAATTCCTATTACCTCTTATTGAGCTGTAATACACAAGCCAAACAAGGATGAGGAGAAAAAGTTGTGCCTTTGTGTCTAGTAAATTATGCCTTTAGCAATTTAGGATTTAGTTATCAGAGATAGGAACCATCCTGATAAAATCATTTATCTTGTGTGAACTTTGCTTCATTTTGTTTTGTTGTTGGTAAGTGCCATCGAGTTGGTTCTGACTCACAGGGACCCTATCTATGGACAACAGGATGAAACACTGCTCAGTCCTGCACCATCCTCACTATTGCTGCTATGTTTGACACCACTGTTGCAGCCACTGTGTCAATCCATCTTGTAGATGGTCTTCCCCTTTTTCACTGACCCCCTTTTCTACTTTACCAAGCATAATGTCCTTCTCTTGATGTCCTGATAACATGGCCAAAGTGTAAGAGATGAAGTTTTGCCATCCTAATTTCTAAGGAACATGCCAGCTATACTTCTTCCAAGACAGATTTGTTCATTCTTCTGGCAGTTTACAGTATATTCAATACTCTTCACTAACACCACAACTGAAATGCATCAATTATTTTGCAGTTTTCCTTATTCATTATCCAGCCTTCACATGCATATGAGATGAGGGAAAATACCATGGTGTGGGTCAGGTGCACTTTAGTCTTCAAGATGACATCTTTACTCTTTAACACTTTAAAGAGGACTTTTGCAGCAGATTTGCACAGTGCAATATGTCGTTTGATTTCTTGACTGCTGCTTTCATAGGCACTGATTGTGGAGCCAAATAAAATGAAATCCTTAGCAAATTCAATCTTTTCTCCATTTATCATGATGATGCTTATTGGTCCAGTTGTATGACTTCTGTTTTGTTGAGGTTAAGGTGTAATCCATACTGAAGGCTGTAGTGTTTGATTTAATTAGTAATTGCTTCAAGTCCTCTTCACTTTCAGCAAGCAAGGTTGTATCATCTATATATCACAGGCTGTTAATGAGTCTTCATCCAATCATGATGACCCATCCTCCTTCATATAGTCCAGCTTCTCGGATTATTTGCTCAGCATATAGATTGAATAAGTATGGTGAAAGGATAAAATCCTGATGCACAGCTTTCCTGATTTTGAACCATGGAGAATCGCCTGGTCTGTTTAAACAACTGCCTCTTGGTCTATGTACAGGTGCTTCATGAGCACAGTCAAGTGTTCTGGAATTCCCATTCTTCACAATGTTATCCACAATTTGTTAACATCCACACAGCCAAATGCCTTTGCAGAGTCAATAAAACACAGGTAAACATCTTTCTGATATTCTCCACTTTCATCCAAGATCCATCTGACATCAACAATGATATCCCTCATTCTATGTCCCCTTCTGAATCTGCCTTGAATTTCTGGTAGCTCCCTGTCGATATACTGCTGTAACTGTGTTTGAATTATTTTCACCAAAATTTTACTTGCACGTGATATTAATGATATTGTGTGATAATTTCCACATTCTGTTGGATCACCTTTCTTTGGAATGGGCACAAATATGGATCTATTCCAGTTAGTTGGCCAGGTAGCTGTCTTCCAAATTTGTTAGCATAGACAAGTGAGCACTTCCAGTGTTGCATCTGTTTGTTGAAACATCTCAACTGGTATTCTGTCAATTCCTAGAGCCTTGTTTTTACCAATGTCTTCACTGCAGCCTGGACTTCTTCCTTCAATACCATTGATGATGATTCTTCTTCTTTTTTTTTTTAATGGTGATTTGGGTGAAGATTTACAGAGCAAATTCACTTTCCATACAGCAGTTCACATACACTTTGTCTCATGATAATGACCACAATTTACCACAGTGCAACAACTCCCCTCCCACTTCCTCCCGATAATTACCTCTTCCCTATGTCCATCCCTCCACGCCCTCTTGCCCCCTGAGCTGTCTCCTGGTGCATAAGCAGCCCTTCTTTCTTCCGTAATTGTTCTCTCCAAGGAGTGTATCTACCTCAGGTAAATGTTCAACTCATATGCCTGTCTTTTGCTTGGCTGGAAGCCAAAGGTGTGGATTCAATTCCAAACCTGACAGGCAGCTAGGGACCATAGTCTCAGTGGTTCCAACAGGCTCTATCAGACCGCAAACCTGAATACCATTGATTCTTGATAACATGCTACCTTAGGTCTTATAATAATCTAACCTTCCAGCAGTCAATTAAGGAAAGAGAAAGAAATCTTACCCAAACCTCAGTCTATAGGGTCAAGCTATGAACTTTTAAGTGTCATCACCACAGATGAGGCAACTTATACGAGATTTCTGAAACTCTGAAGCTTGCTAGTCTCTTCATGTCCCACATCTCCATCTTTGGTTAAAATATCATCATCTCTTCTTGTGTTAGGCTGGGTTCTCTACAGAAGAGAAGCCAGTGAAGCTTACATATACATATCCCCAGAGAAAGATATCATGCTCAGTAAATGGAAGGGTCAGCAAAAATAAGGAAGACCCTCCATAAGATGGACTGACACTGTGGTTACAATGATGGGCTCAATTACAACAAGGATTGTGAGGATGACTCAGGACTGGGCAGCATTTCATTTTGATGTACTTAGGGTTGCTATGAGTCAGAGCCAACTCATTGGCACCTAATAACAACAACATATATTTGTTGTTGTTGTTATGTGCCGTTGAGACAGACCCGACTCATAGCGACCCCTCCTTGGGTTTCCAAAGCAGTATCACTACGGAAGTAGATTGCCCCATCTTCCTTCCGAGGAGTGGCTGGTGGGTTTGAACCTCCAGCCTTCTAGTTAGCAGTCAAGTGCCTTAGCCACTATGCTACCAGAGCTCCCAACAACATATATACAAAGAGAGAAATTTATCTCAAGGAAATGGCTCAGGCAGTTGTAGAGGCTGGCAAGTCCCAAGTCTGTGGATCACACATCAAGGTGGAGGCTTCTACTGACTCACGTAGTTTCAAGGGCTGACAAACCCAAGATCAGCAGGCAATATAGCAGGCTGTTAGCTTCAGAGGCTGAAAAATCCAAGATTGGCCAGTAAGATGGCAGGCTGTTGCTCACAGGTTGAGAAGGCAACAATCCCAAGTTGCCTTGGGACAGGCAATACGGCAGACCACTGGTTCAAATCCAGGAATCAGAGGCCAGATGATGAAGAGCTAGATGCAGGATCCAGATTAAGCAAAGAGCCAAAAATCTTTGCCAAGACATCCATATACATTGGAAGCAGGCTATACCCCTGAGGAAACTTCAACTGATTGGTGCTCAAAGATCTCATCATGGAAGTGATTACATTATATCAGATCTCAATCTGGGAGATGACTACATCCTGACTGCTAAAAAACTGAGCATCATCGCCCAGGTAAGCTGACACACAACTTTAACTATCACACTTGCCATCTATAGTTTTATCTTCATACTACTTTGTGCTGCTTCTCCCCTAATTCAACCTTCCACTGCCCCTTTTCCTCACAAAACCTTCCACTCTTCTCTCTAGAATTTTATTCATGATAACCTCTTCTATGCTCAGTATCTTTAAAGAACACTCCACTACATCCTGACTTTACCCGTCTAAAGATGCCTCTTCCCTGATCCCTCTCAAATGAAGGCTATTTATTGCCCCAAATCTCATATCATGAGGTTAGATGATAGGCTCAACATGCTCCCAATGCTGCTTCCAAATTATTCTCCTCCATCCTGGAGACACTAAGGTTCATCATGCTCAACTAACTACTCCTTTTAATCTCCTCTGGTCATTACCCCACACTCACTGACAACTCTGGCACCTGACTAGGTATTTCTCACTGCCCCAAACCCTCCATGATATTAAAGGACATTGAAGGAAAATACTCTTCCCATCCCTAGAGATAAAAATGCAACAAATAAAGAAGGATAACCCTTGCCCATAAAAAAGAAGCCTGATCCTATTTTCTTGGTACTCAGTATTCTAACAACATAAGACTCACTTTGAGTGAGAAAACTTACTGCATCAAATGTGGAGGATTTCATGTCGTCACCAGTTGCTCCTGAAATATCCTTATGAATAAAATCCACATTGTCTGGCCACTCTTCTACATGACTTATTTTCCATGAATCACGCCATTGTCTGTAATTCTTCTTAGCCAGATCATGGTGGTCTTTTCTTATTTCAAAACTTATGACTCGCCCTTTTGATCCAACTTAATTAAATAAAAAATAATTCATGACATTTCATAGTATTAATCAGTTTATAAAGAAGGTCAAAAATTCATTTTGCAAGGATATCACATGTTCCTGAAAAAATAATCCAAAGGGTTCAGGGTTACAAATGTCCCTATCTCATCCCTGATACCTAATCTCTCTTCAGAGGCAGCCATATAACCAGTTTTTTACCCTTCCAAAGACAGTAAGTGCCTATACCAATGTGCAAGTATTTCTCTGTTTTGAACAAACATTATTGCATATTATACACAGTCATGCAACTTCTTTTCTCACTTACCAATGCCATTTCAGAGATTACATATGAGCCAGTATAATTTTAGGATGAAGTCCTAAAAATGGAATTGCAGGCTGAAGAGGTATGAGTATTTCCATTCTGAAAATTATTACCAAATTGTCCTCCAAAAAAGTGGTACCAATCTACACTTCTATGTCATTCTAGAAATGAATAGTTTATCATTATACAGTAAAACTTGCAGAAGCTGGAACCTGAGAAATGTGTCAACTTGTCAGAGAAGGAAAATTCAAATATTTTCCACTAAAAGGAGCAACAGAAAAGTGGCAAGACTGCACTCTATCAAAGTTGGAAAACCTGTGAGACCTGAAAACACAAGGCAGTCCTATTGAGTTCCCAGCTCTCAAAGGTTATACTGTAGTTTTAATTGCATTTCTTTTGTTATGGATGAGGTTCAGTCTTTTGTATATTTAAAAACTATTTGTATCTTTATATGTCAGAAGAACATTTAAACTGTTTAGAATAATACTGCAGCTCCAGAAAAAAGTGCTGCATTTAATTTAACACAATTAATCTTCTTCCTTCTAACTAAGGTGATTTGATACCATTCGGAGGCTGTCCCAGATCAATCAGTCTGAATTTTACTAATGGAAAGTTTAAATCCCAGAATGTCTTTTGAAACATAACTCTAGCTACAAGTCATTATGTTCTCAGGGGATAAAATTAATGTTAATAGTAGCATAAACTAAACAACTGGAAAAATAAAATTATGGAAGGGAAAATATCCATTCTAAAGTTAAACAGTAATAATCTCTTGACCATTCATAGTTTGGGATTATTCATGCCATGACACTCCTCTGATCCTAGTCTCACAAGTTTTTCTAAATTCACATTGTGCAGTGCAGTGAATTACTTAATATGGCCCTTATTAACTACCACCAAATGACTGGGTGGGGTTATGCAAATGAGGTACTTATAGCATACCAACAGGAGTGGACAGCTTTCTAATAAAGTAACTAAGGTGCATGGCACCCATGTGGGTGTGGGGCTATGCAAATAAGGTGTTATGGAGCCTTAATGAGGGGATTGGTCAGTTTTGCTATCCCACCAGACTTAAAATGAGCTATCTCGGAGATAGAAAGGGGACCTCACAACCACCAAGAGAGAAAAGCCAGGAGTGGAACACATCCTTTGGACTTGGGATCCTTGCACTGAAAACCTCCTAGAAGGAGGAGACAGAGAAAGAGAGCTGTAACACTAAAGCAGGTTAGAGCCAGCACCAGAAAAATGGCGCCACAGAGGCAGCAGAACCAAGAATGTCAGGAGATAGCACAGTGGGTTTCCTGGCCCAAAGAGTGAGAGAACTGAGTGACTTTGGGCCAAGGCTTACCAGCAGAGTGGAGTGCCTCTGGGCACTTACTGGTAGAGCTAGAGTTTTGTAACGCTTGCCCAAGCAGGGCAGTGGCCTGGGAGGAAGCCAGAGGCATGCCTGCGGGCACTGCTGAGAAGAGGCAGTCCTTACTGAAGAACTATATCCTGAGTTGTTTCTGATTCTGAATTGTGAATTGTTACTTCCCCTAATAAACCCCATAATTCTAAGCATGGTCTGTGAGTTCTGTGCGTCCATTATAACAAATTATAGAACCCAGCAGAGAAGTATAAAGAGCTGTGGGAGGGATGCTATTGTCAGAATGGATAAAAAGGTTGGGGACAGGAAATATGCCTGACCTCCACTTCACAGGAATCAGCCTTGGGCTGTTGATCTCAATTCTCCTTCTCCCTTCTGAAGTTAGAGGAGGTCAGACACCATTCCCAAGCCATTTTTACACATTGTTAAGTGAAAGCATGCAAACTGTGAAGAAATGACCACCTTTAACTATGTACAGAAAAAAGTCAAAACAAAAGATCTGTGGTGGCGGTTGTTGTTGTTAAGTGCCATCGAGTCGTTTCTGACTCATAGCGACCCCATGCACAGCAGAACAAAACACTGCCCGATGCTGCGCCAGCCCCACAATCCCTGCTATACTTGAGCCCATCATCGCAGCCACCGTGTCAATCCATCTCCTTGAAGGCCTCCCCCTCTTTCGTCGACCCTCCACCCTACCAAGCATGATATCCTTCTCCAGGGAATGGTCCCTT